TTGCTGAAAAAAAATAGTCCTGGTCCGGGGATCGATTCCGGGGTTAACGCCTTTCCAGGGTGGTTGCTCTACTGAGAGAGTTAACCAGGAGGTTATAGCGATTGGCAGCGCGAGGGTGAAGTGATCAACCATTCAAAGCTCATGAACAGAGAATACTGCAAATTGGTTCTGTGTAATCTTGGAGAATACTATTAGTGAAATTTTGCGTCCCTAAACCACGATATGGTCATGACAGACGCCGTAATGGAGGGCTCCGTGGTGGGTTCCGGAAACTTCGACGATCTGGTGTTCTCTAACGTGCGCTGACGTCGTACAGTACACGGGCTTCGACCACTTCGCTTTTATCGACATGCGACCGCCATGGCCGGAATCGAACCCGCGACCATCGGGTCGGCAGCCAAGCACCCTAGCCACTGATCCACCGAAGCGCACAATCTTGCAGAACCAACTTGCAGTATTCTGTAGGGCGTGTCCGATTTCTGTAGCACATGCAGACTACTAGTTTTCACGCACATGGGAGTGGCGGAACATTGTTTTACCTGGTCATATAAAGTTTTATTTTGATAATATAAATTCTGGACTTTCCCATGGCAAAACCGTGGTATTACTAGGAGACATATTCGTCGTGGGGAGTTCCGGAAAAAAATTTAGAATACGAAATGGCTCATGATCGAGCACGAGAACTGACCCACCGCGATGATCCATCAGCCCCCAAAGAGTTGGGTCCAGACGTACGGTTTATTGACCCTTTACTCACCTTCCACGAAATTACATCCTACTACTGAAACGACAGATGCCAGTACCCTTCAACACATGCGAAGCTCGAACGCGCGCAAGAGGAAGCCTTTCGCATGCTACGAATGAAATCGTAGCCATCCCGCGGGGCCTACTCGGCTGTTACAACTCGCACGTAGATTCAGAATGCCCAAACTGCTCGGAAGTGTACTGTTCACTCAAACACATGCTCTGGCAATGGCCCAAGTTACCACGAGGAACTCTCACCAGTGAGGCACTCTGGAGCCCCAATCTCCGAAACCAAAAAAAAAAAAAAAAAGGCAGTCGAGGGGGCCCAAGAACTAGCGGAACGCCACCACGTTCACGCCCCGACTTGAGCATCGCCTACAGTAGCGGCTGCTGGGATGTCTCTCGTGGACAACCTGGTGGCCTAAACTTTTCAGGACATTTTAATGAAGTTCTTGACTGACTGACCTGCTATTCTCTAAAAGAGAACCAAAAGAAAACCAAGTCTAACTACTAAGATCCAACGAAACTTCATATTTGCCTTCAGGAATGACAGCAAAGATTCCAGATGTACGCTAGTTTGTAAAACTCGTGCTTAGTAGAAATATTGCACGCTACTCAGCTGTTCCTCATATACGTTCAGTTGAACAGAACGCAAAATTAATAGAATTGAGCAGATCTGCGCTTTTTAATAAATTTTTGCACGATATCCTAAAAGGTAAGAATGGAGTAAACGTGTTCTTACGCCAATTTTCTTCTTTTACTTTATAATGAGTGCGTGTTTTCGTTTATTTCGCAGTGATAGCTAACTGATTTACTTCAGTGATCTTCTTTTGCCTTTCTCTCTCTCGTACATTCTCGTTGTAATCATTGCTGTTTTTATAGCTCATTTGTCTCTATATTAGTATGGCGCTGCTTCGATGCTGTAGCTTATATCCGTCACTTGCCCATGTATTATTTATTCCATGCATTTTTAATGGTGGGTCCCCCAACAGACCTTGTACCCTTTTCCAAATTTATTTCGATAACAATCAACTGGAAACTTCATCATTTCATGACTATAAGGTCTATGTTGCAGCGAAAGCTGTCTGTGAGTAAAAACAACTTGGGTTCAACGTACTAAAACCACGATATGACAATAAGGGACGGCGTAGAAGAATAAGAAGAAAATTTCTTTCTTTATCAATCAAATTGCTCACAAACAGTTGTGCGAAAACATCCGGATCCGTAGCCAACATGGCTAGTTAAGGATCCGTTATACACAAGGCATTTTGTTTGATTAGCAAGCAAAATTTTTACACAGATATTACAATCACAGATTACATATTTATATGTGAACATGTAGAGAAAAACTGAAATAATGCGATATGTACACATATTTCCACAATATTAGCATGCCAACTGGTAACTATCGAATATAAAGAGTTTCCAGAGTGGTTTAATTAAGGTAGGAATACTGTTCTAAATTTTAGCAGCCACAAAAGGTATTGTTCGACGGCCGAAGACACTGTGTACTATTTTTCTGTTTCGCCTGCCGAGTGTGACCTCTGCGTTTTAATAAAACTGATGCGTGAAAGGGTACACTGTCATTCACTATTTTGTTTACTAATACTGCTTTTTTGAATTGTATAGCCATAATTAAAGGCATTATGTGGAGATTTCTAATAAAGTTCCGCCGATGGTGCATTCCTGGGTGCTGACGCAATCGTTCGTACAGCTCTTTTTTGTAAGATGGTTATGACTGAGCAATATGAGGCATATGTGGTAGCTCCATGATTCAATGCAATAAGTTAGATGAGGGTGTAACACGTTGAAGCGGAAGACTCTGGAAATTTCGAACATCTGAGCCTCTTTAACTCGCACCTAAACCTTAGTATACAGGCCTCAAGCGTTTATGGCTTCATTGAAAAAGCAGCCGCCGCAGCTGGCATCTGATCCCGCTACCTGCGGCTCAGCAGCCGAGTACCTTAGCCACTGGACCACCGTGACGGGTCGCTGTCAGTTAGTACTTAAACTAAAAACGAATCAAAGTCTTGCCCCTAAGTGCCGCAACCAAAGCATGAGGCTTGCCTTAGCGGTGGATATCGGACTAATTTAAATCTCGAGCAGGAATCTACTTCACTATCGGCGCGTGCTTATCAGACACATGTGCGCATGTACGCACGTGTGCCCGGTCAGATTCGTGATACTCTGTATACCTCACAATGTCCACATAGCTCTTGTACCTGTCTTCTTTTTTATCACTGGGCACCTTCTTAGTAGATAGCGGGCATTTGAGTTCCACCGTTCTCTTCTTCTGCGTCCCTGTATACAAGCGCACCCTCTTTCATGATGCGTACTTGCCAGCTAGGCTTAATTTTTTTTCTCGTTATCAGACCATCTAATTTTTGTTAGTGGGTTCGTAAATCTAAATACATGGTGACATTAAGAAAAATTCATCTGGATTGGAATGTGACACTTATATGAAGAATTGAAATATATATGAGTTGCATGGCTAAGCCGTCGTGCGTAGCCATGCAACACAATAACCAGCAAGGGTGCAGCCAGATATTTTATTCGGGATGGGGGGAGGGGGTTAACTATTATTGCCTTTGTATCTGTGCGTCTATGCATACAGACGTGAAACTGGAAGTTTGCCGAAAGGATTGATTCCTCCCCTTGTTGGCTACGCCGACGATAGCTGCTAAGTTGTAATCGGCTCCATAGATATGGAAAACACCCGAGCATGAACGCACATGCAAACCGCCTAACTTGGTAAAAACATTGCCAGTAATCAGAAGGATACCACAGCGAAAATGTCTGCATGCCATCCTATTTAGAAGTCCCCGCCATTGTGAACAGAAATGAACTTGCATATTTGATATTGATTAAACGGACCACATCTTATCGACAGATGACCGTTGCATTAGCTAGCATTTATATATAAACGACAGAAACTTTAGTGCCATATAAAAAGAAATAAAATATTTATGCGTGTCTTTTTCTTTTGAGTTGTTCATTTTTGCTTTGTGTCGTAGCAGCTTTAAAGGTAATTTTATAATGTGGTGTAGCGTAAAGCTCTGACACGTCTTAAGCACACGATTAAGTGCGTGTACGTATAAATATCACCTATCCCGAAATAAAAAAAAAAATTAACTTCCAGCCTTCGCCTCGGCAACACTCTGATCCCAAAATAATTATTGCGGCAGTTATTAAGGATCGGCTGTTCCTCTAACTGCCATAATTGTTATAGAAGCGCTGTATCTGAAATTCGGTGAATTAAAAAAAAAACTGGCTTTGATAATATCACGGAGATGAAGGTAAGGAAGACGAAGGGCAGACGCTGACAGGCGCGCGAGTGTGTTTGCCAGTCATACTGACTCTTGCCTGTGTTTTCCCAGTAAATACACTTTTTATATACGCAATAAACCACGTGACCTATTGATGTAGGTGCCGGGTTTCTAAACTTCATATACGTAAAAATGCTTACCGTTCATTGAATGCGTAGTGATAGTGAAAATACGTTAATGCAAAATTTAGGTTAAATAATCAGCCTTCGCAGTCGAAAGAAAGAACAATGATGTTCTAGGTTATCCAGGGCTTATATTGCGGACACTGCATATAAAATTGGCGCCAGTCAAGCTGCAGTTATACTTACCGATTTCTTGATATCAAGATGTAGTTCGCGACAGTTTGCACTGCCAGCAGTTGTCGTGATGACATCATAGCTTTTTGTTACCGCTATTTTCTGTACAATTGAAACAATACGCGAGGAAAACGTACGAAGATGCAAGAATGACTTCAACCGGTGAATATCGCGGTAGGCAGCATGCGTTTCAACGGGAACACGGCGCACGGAGCGCATTCGCTACACCGATCGAAAGGAGCCTCGTCAGAGGCGTTACGTCATCGGCCAGGGACCGGAACACGTGGTCTTTCGGCCGCACGGATGGGCTCGTCACTTGCGAGAGAAAAGGCACCCGCCGCTCGAAGGAACGCGTTTCTGGAGAAAAAAGCGTCGAGCGAGCCTACGCGGCTTTGGCTTTGCCACTATGCTCCTGTAGAGTGCGGGCAAGCATGCCCTGCGAAGTGGTGAGTGCTCTCTCTCCCGCCTCTCGTCCGTCTGTGGCTCGCGTCGGCTCGTAGCGTCGACCGGCAAAGCCAAGACAGCAGGCGCGCCACTAACGGCGACGACGCTAACGACGCCAGACCATCTTGTTCTCTCGCTCTCCGCCAGTGTTTTTTTTTTTCTTTTAGCCCCTCTCCGTTAGCGCGAAGGTTTATCGCCGAAAAGAGCGCCGGGGTTGGGCGTGTGTGGCGTGTGCTACCGTCGCCGCTCCCTGGAAAAAGAAAGGTTCTCTCGTGCGCGCGCCGGCTTGCCTCCAGCACGCCTGCAGGATTGGTGCGACCACCTTCTTTGTGTGTTGTGTGCAACGTTGTCGTGTGTGCGATCCGTTGCGTTGTGCGCAAAGGCAAAGCTCACGCAGGTGCGAGTGAGAATTGCACTCTCGTGCGGTGATGCCGTCGAGTGCGCGTCGGTGGCCTGAGTGGCGGGCCGCGGCTCCAGCCGCCATGCGTAATGCTCTTACGGTGCTCGGCTAGGACACCTCGCCGGCCGATGAACGCGTGCATCGGGATTCGCACGTGAGTGTTTACACCACCAATGGGGATCAGCCGTGGCTCGGAGCGCTGGACGGCCGACGTGCGACCCAGACTACCAGCACCACCGCTGCGCGACCGTCGATCGTGGTGCAGCCGCTTTTCGTCGCCCGTGCTTCTGTTCTTGGTGATTTCTGCGCTGCCTCTGCTCGCCGGATCGGACGCGAACGGCACCGAAGCAATAGCAAATGAGTAAGTGGTGTTGCACGATTTGCGTCGGTAAGCCAACTCAAACCTCGGCCTAACCTCGGTTGAAACCAGAATCGCAAACGGGAGAGCTTCACCGATGGGTTCTGGTGCAAGTGAAAGAAGTCACTCTTACAGGCCTTTACGGCGAGCACGTCTTTTCACTGCTGCTGTTTTTTCAGTTTACTCCGGATTGACTAATGGCTGATGAAATGAACGTGAAGGAAAGTTTACCTGGGCACTGCTGTTTTTCAGTTTGCGCCGGATTCACTAACGGCTGATGAAAAGAACTGGAAGGAAAGTTTACCTGGGTACTCTCACAATTCTCGTATTCATTAGTATCTTCACAGAAAGAGAGCATTCTCAGGGTGGAGCCGCTTATATGCGGTACATCGGCTTTACCAAACGGCTATGGGAGAAACACAACTGCGAAACGCCGGTTGTAACCGGCAATATATGCAGCGGTCGGCTGAATTGCGACAATGCGATTACACTGGACTTCGCGCACTAGTTTGGAAACACTGGCATACACTTTCGTTCTATCAAACTTCGAAGAAGTCCAATTTCAGCTCAAGTAGCGCCGAGTTATATTCTACAGACAATTGACCTAATTAATCGCGAGTGCGTCATTCCGCAGGCGGAAACGCTGACGTGATAACACCGCAACACATCACTCACCATCTGCGAATGATTCACGTTGATTCTGAAGCAATCTAAGCAATGCGTATAGCTCGTTTACCAACTTGAATGACATGAAAAAATGAGGTATAACGTGCGTGCGAGCAGTTATAAACCTCAGGAGGAGGATTTGGTGGACTAGTTGGTATTGTATTCTGGCAAGGTCGCAGATTGGGCCAGAGCGAGCGCTGTGGCTTGTTTTTTTTTTTTTATTCACCCTCGTCTGTGTGCGCTGTAACCTTTGCAAAAAATGTAAATCATTCTCCCTCTTTTCAGGTAGCAGCGCGTCGTCGCATATGTCAGAAGATCAACGGTTGTTAATCATTCGAACACCGAAGTAAGCGCGTCTGACGTGCGCTGTTAAGTGGTGCGCTTGCAGATGCTACTTGGGTCACATGTCTGGGTCGCACGCTTCTGCAGCGAACAACTCGGCTATATAGCGCAGCATCAAAATCGACCTGCGCGCTTTCGAAAAAAACTCTCAATTATTTCGTATATCGATGATTTTAGATTGTATTGCGCGTTAATCTAAGAGATACGTCCTTCTTTCGGGTAAATGTTACGCTACTAACGTCCGAACTTGTTCATGTCCTTTCCTGATATGTGAAACACCGTTAATTTCCCGTTGTTCTAGCGGTTGTGTGGCTCGACTGTCAATCGACCCGAAGGTTACGGGATCGAATGCCAGCCGCACTTTCCGTGAAGGCGAAAATGCCCGAAGCCTGCTCTTCGATTTTATTGCACTTAAAAAAAAAAAAACCCCTATGTGGTCGAACTTTTCGGAGCCCTCCACTGAGGCGTCTCTCCAAAGCTTATACTGTGGTTTCGGGACGTAGAATCCCGACAGTTGTCATGAAACACCGTTCCATCACCGAGCGATGAGTCTCTCGCGTACCGGTGGTGGTAGTGATTAGAATGAAGAGGAAAAAGGCACCTAATTTCTGTCTGCCTTCAGGCGACACGGCGCAGTGCCTTATAGGGGTGGGGGGAAGGAGGGATAAAAAGAATAGAAGGAAAGTAGAAGCAGAAGAAGACAGCCAACGAGAGGAAAAAAGAAGGAGATAGGAAAGTGGGGATCCGGTCGAAGAAGTCCAAGGGCGGGGTGCCACAATGCGAGAGCTACACGGCGTCAGGAGACCGCGGAGGGCGAACCAGTCGGCGGGAGCTACGCTGAAGTCGGAGATCGCGAGGGCACAACCGTCCAGCTTGAAATCCTGCGAGCGAAATCCCTCTCGCGTACCGAAAAGAGCGTGTCGCAGTTGCACCTAGCCTTCTTTATATGCCGGCGAAGCAAACGGCGTTTGTGCGAGGGGAGGGGCAGAACATTGGCCCCCAGAGCGTGAGTACGCCTGCTGCTGCATCGACGCGCGAGCCGCGGCCCGACGCGCATGCGCACACTTGGGATCTCGCGCGTGCGCACTGGGAGTCGGCAGCTGCCGGTGTTGTATTCCTCCTCCCCCTACTCACAACGTCGTGCAACGCTCTCACTCACGGAAGAAGGAAACCTCAGTGCTCTCACTTTTTGCCGGGGGAAAAAAAACTCAGGTTTGTGCCTGCTGCCGGTTTTCAACGCTACGCCGCGCGCATATCGCTTTCGCGATGAGGCGCGCGCCTGGTCGTTTGCTGGTTTTGAAAACTGATGGAGGGGAGGCCCGGTTTGTGTTCCGCGCATCTTTACAGGCACTGGCTTACGTAGCTTGCCTGGCACCGTTTAGGCCCCTTTTGCACGCGTGAAGGAGTCTGCTCGATTCGAGCACGCTGGCGAAAGGGGTGTGAACCGCCATCTTTTTCAGTAGGTGTTGAAGAATGAAGAGTTGAACGGTCCTTGCGCGAGTTCGATGCCCGTAGTGACATTTTGGAGCAAACATAAGCTTTTTTCTTGGGAAGACCTTACGCGGTAAATCGCTTCTTAAATGTCGTTGAAAATGTTTTGCACCGTTGAATGCCTTTAAACAGCAACTAAAGACCAGTTTTTGAAGCAAATTAGGCAGCACTTAAAAAGCACTTATGTTTTTGAACCAAACGCGTGACTGTGTTGGGAAATCTGATTGATTGATTTGTGGGGTTTAACGTCCCAAAACCACCATTTGATTATGAGAGACGCCGTAGTGGAGGGCTCCGGAAATTTTGACCACCTGGGGTTCTTTAACGTGCACCCAAATCTGAGTACACGGGCCTACAACATTTCCGCCTCCATTGTGTTGGGAAATCTGCATCATGGTAACGGTTACTGCAAATGTTGTGAGGTGGCGACGCTCTGGTGAATGTGCGTGGTGGGAATAACTAGAAGCTCACAACCTCAGTCTTACTACGCTAACAAGAACGAACTCAGCAAGTGGTGTAGGGGCCAAGGAATGCCAACATTCTGTGTGAAACAAATAGAAAAAATGCAGGTAACATAGCCTAATATCTTTATCAGTATGATTGTACAAACGCAGCGCACAAAGGTTGGGGACAGAGAGACAACAGATTAACACATGCCCCAACTGCGTGTTCTCTGAAAACTCGCATACATTCGCGAATGTCCTGTTTGTCTGAAACAGCGCTCAACCAGAAACGGATACATGATATTGTGAGCGTTTTTGGTGCGCCTCATTGTTTTCCATCTCTATGCGTAGAGTTGCGATTATGCCATTATTATTCTTCCTTGTTCTTTGGGACGTAAGTGAATTCAAACGTTTTGTCTCACATTAAATGATAGCGATACAGTACTGTTTTTTGCTATATGCCTCGCAGACTTAAATTTCGTAGTGAGACGACATCCACACATTACCAAGACGTCGATGAATCCTCGCTCTTGCTAATGTGCGAGGTTATTATTTGTAAGGCAGCCTTCGATGATGCATTCGCCCTTTTCATAACGTTTCGAGAGCCTCTCACCGGTCCTTCCGCGCGTCTTAAGTCCGGCTCCTCTCGTGCGCGAAATTGACGCAGATTTTCCTCTCAGAGATCGGCGTTATATATATAAATATATATATATATATATATATATATATATATATATATATATATATATATATATATATATATATATATATATATATATAGATAATTGGTTATATAGCACAGCGAGGCACTTTCTTCTGGTGCTATTCTGTTTTTAAATAAAGAACCACTACTCTGGTAGAGCGCGCTGGCATGCAGAAATGCGTAGTTTGGCCACATTTTGTGACCTTAATTTCATTTTTGGGGGCACCTTTACATTCGTGCTATTGCTGTCACCGTGATTTGCGTTACAAAATAGTCGTGAACAGGCTCCGAAATTCGTATACCGTGGTGATCACGTTTTCTGAATATTACAGCGTTGCGTGCCCCGTGAGGCCTCTATTTCAAACAAATAATAATAAATTCCCATGCTTTTTTTCCTACGCCTGACCAATCCTGCTTTCGCACGCAGTGACACAATGTCGCGTCTTAGCACGATGCAGCTGGTCGACTGGTCTTATACCCCTGTCACACGGCCACCACCAAACTCCGTTGAACACCGTCAACGTAAATCTCCCCTAGGGGGTTCGACGAAGAAGGAGTTCTGGCAGTGCCACACAGCAATGACAAGGTTGTAACGGTTGCCGCGAGGGGGCTCAGCTGGCGCTGTTTTATTTTCGGAAAAGTATTCTATTTGATCCCTATTTATTTTTTGTGAATCCTCGTTATGCGCTTTTTACAAAAAAGCACTATAAAGTAGGTATGCGACTAACAAACCATTAAAAATAATTTCAAATAAAAACGCATTTGCTAAATGTAGCGATGCTGCTAGTGACGCTGGCCACATTGTTCTTTTATGTTGTTTTGTTGCCTGTGTACATGCCCGGTTACGAAAGTTCTGATGCTTCCTTGCCTCGTGAGCGCACATTTTGTGTTCTTCAGCCATGAGTGACACAGCGGACGACGTGAGGAAGTGGTGCGATATTGCGCTGCTAATGACGTTGATCGGCTGGCGCCGGCCGGCCCGACTCGCGAGGCACGGTGTGTAGGGCATCGGTGTTGAGGGTAAGGGAACTCTGGCGGGCGTAAATATTGTAAACAAACACTCGTTGTGAATGATTAATACAACGAAAGAACGTTTAATATTGCTAAAATGTATTATTCTTTCACTGCGGCCACTTAGAACTCGAAATTTTTCTCTGACCTCTAGACTGCGGAGGACGAGAGTACCTCGTTCCGCTGCGAAGGGAGATCGTTGAACGTCCTTTGCGAAATGCTCCGTTCACCTTCGTTTGCGTAAGGGTGGCCGTGTGACACCAACCGCATCTTCGTTGTCATAAAGACGAGGGAGTTAAACGGTCTTCACGGATGCCCGTGTGACAGGGGTATTAACCAGTCACGAC